TGTCCCCTGTGACTATGGTCCCAAGCCTGCAGGTTCAACTACTCAGTCCCTCTGGGTATCTGGCTGTGACTAAGCTCTTTCTTAAATTTTTATAGTGAATTTTTCAAAAGATACTTTATAAGCATCATCTCATGTCACATGAATTTGCATGTATTTTCAGCCTGACTTGCAAGCCTAGAGGTAGCTTTCTTTAACTGCTTAGAAGGTGGTCATATAGAGGAAGATGAGAAAGGAAGCTATCATTTGTTGTGTGTTTACTATGGCCTTGACATTTCTAAATGCTTTAATCCTCAAAATGACTCTGTGAAGTGGGTACAGCTATTTATTTTATAGATGAGCAAACTGAGATACAGAGAGCTCAACTTGCCCAAGGTCATACACCTGGTAAGTGACAGAGGTACAATTAAAACGTCTGATACATGTTGTTAGGTGCTGTCGAGTCAGCCCAACTCATGACAACCGTATGTGCAACAGAACAAAACACTGCCCAGGCCTGTGCCATCCTCACAATCCCTGTTTTGGTTGAGCCCATCTCTGCAGCCTCTGTGTCAGTCCATTTCACTGAGTGTCTTTCCCTTTTCTCTTGACCTTCTGCTTTACCAAGCCTTATATCTTTCTCCAGGGAATTGTCCCTTTTGACAACATGACCAAAGTAGGTGAGGTGAAGTCTGGCCATTCTTGCCTCGAAGGAGCCTTCTGGCTGCACTTTTTCCAGGACAGATCTGTTAGTTCTTCTGGCAGTCCGTGGTCCTTTAGCATTCTTTGCCAATACCACAACTCAAAAGCTCAGCTCTTCTTTGGTTTTCTCTATTCATTATCCAGCTTTCTTATGCATATGAGGCAATTGAGTTAGATGCACCTTAGTCTTCAAAGTGACATAACTGTTCTTCAGCACTTAAAAGAGGTTTTTGCAGCAGATTTGCCCAGTGCAATACAACATCTGATTTCTTGACTGCTACTTCCATGGATGTTTATTGTGGAGACAAGTAAAATGAAATCTTTGACAACTTCAGTCTTTTCTCCATTTATCATGATGCTGCTTATTGGTCTAGTTGTGAGGATTTTTGTTTTCTTTATGTTGAGGTGTAATCCATACTGCAGACTATAGTCTTTAATCTTCATCAGTAAGTACTTCAAGTCCTTTTCACTTTCTGCAAGCAAGTTTGTGTTATCTGCATATCACAGATTGTTAATGGGTCTTTTTCCAGTCTTCCTGCTGTGTTCTTCTTCATATAGTCCAGCTTCTTGGATTATTTGCTCAGCATACAGATTGAATAAGTATGGTGAAATGGTACAAGCTTGACCCACACTTGGCTTGATTTCACTTAGCATAATGGGCTCTAAGTTCATCTGTGTTGTGGGATGTTTTGCAGATTTGCCATTCTTTAATGTTGCTTAGTGCTCCATCGTGTGTATGTATCATTGTTGATTCATTCCTTCACTGATGGGCATTTAGGTTGTTTCCATATTTTTCCTATTGTATATAGTGCTGTGATGAACATGGCTGTGCATGTATCTGTTTGTGTCATGGCTGTTACTTCTCTCGGATATATACCTAGTAGTGGGTTTGCTGGATCAAATGGTATTTCTATTCCCAGCTTTTTTTAAATTATTATTATTTATTGTGATTTGGGTGAAGATTTACAGAGCAAATTCACTTTCCATACAGGAGTTCACATATACTTTGTCTCATGTCATTGACCACAGTTTACCACAATGCAA